AGCAAATGTGCTTCTTCCCAGCGACACAACTATCGAGTCAAACTGAGCCAAGGATGTCAACTTCATGTACCTATGTACATCAGTGTACTTTGGTAGCAATTTTGCTACTTTCTCTACGACTTGAAGAAGATCTAACGTAACTATATACATTGCGTGCCATACTGCCAAGTTGTAACTACCACTGGAGGGTATGTGAAGTTTCTTTATAACACGCACGTGGGCATATTTATCGTGTATAAAGGAAACATACGATCAATTGTTGCTCACGCAAATTAACTTATTAAATTGAGCTCTTGTGTTGAGCGAAAATTTCACCTCTGTTTCCCAGAATTTACGTTTTCACACAACAGCATCGTAACCAAAAATGAAAACAATGTCTAATGCATTCCTGACCAAATATACAACAACTTAATTATATGGTGTAGTCTATGCCATACACAATGTAAACTTACAAACTTTGGTTGATTATTATAAACTATTTAAAAACATTTTGAGTGTGTCTGGGCAAATATAGGAACTTAAAGTGATAAATTCTTTTACATCTGGGGCACGGATGTCAGGATGTTGTGGATTTTACCTTTGATCGTTGATGTCAGCTTTATGTACGTTTAGTACAGTATTGTCCCAGTATTATTACTGTTATAATATGACTAAGAAAATTACTTCATTGTTATTGGCTGAGAGTAGGCCAGTTTATATTGTTAATTTTGAATTTGAACTGCAGTGCAAATTAACATGTGCACATTTGTAATTTTAACAGCTGTGTAATAAATAAGTAAACACATGAAAAGGCTAGAAATTAAATGAGCTCAGTCACGGTTTGCACATTTTGAAAAGTTTAGCCTAAATTTTTCAAATTCGTCGTTTGCAATCCGTGTCAATCTTCGCCATCCTTCACTATGTTTGTTCCTTTATGGTTTATTGTTATCTCTTTGATGTTTTTCTATCATAGTAAACTATTATTTTCAGGTTTCCTTTCATTTAAAGGAGATTTTGTATGTGGCCAAAAAAAAGACAAAACACCGTGACTGAGCTCCTCTAAGGATTTACACTACCCTTGATACTCGAAAATTCTTTCAAATTGCACTTGGCTAAAGGGAATTTTCAAATATCACTTGCAGTATAAATCCATCATTGCACTTGCCTTTATATGATTACCCACGCTAATTTTATTAAGACCCATTAATATTTTTGTTTTATTAAGACCCATTAAAGTGTTCATTTTTCCAGCTAATTGAAGTAGTTACATGTAGAGGGATC